CTTGAGTCCAGTTTGTGGGTATCTCCATGGAAATTAAGGATCCCTGGTGCGTGCACGAAAATCGACCTTGCGGCTCGTAATGCGCGGAACACATTCGCGCTATGTGATTGGCTGTTGTCTAATCCCCCTTGGGATCAGTGGTCTTAAAAATAACTCGAGACGAATTACCTATGGAATAGGGTATGTATGGGGGATGCCTTCTCTGTCCCCTTTATCCTCACTTGTTACGAACTAAATTTTAAACTCGAAAGTATCCAAAGACGTGCCACCAAATTCATTCTTTGCTTGCCTTTTTTATCAAATATCTCTTACAAAGAAAGACTAATGTCTGTAAACCTACAGTGGAACCCGGTTAATAAGGACGCCAAGGGGACATGCCATAGTGTCCGTATTATCCGGGTGTCCGTATTAAGCGGGCTCTCCGAGAAAACGTCAGGAACACATGTTTAATCGATATAAAGACCAAAGCAGACAGTTTTACGAGAAAACGTTTAATTTCAGTAACAGTAACAAGTTCATCCTAAAGAAACCTCACGATTATTTATCATAGTCTCAGAGTAAAATCTTTTAAGTATTGTATTGCTAGTGAAACAGGCACGACAGTGGATTCATTTGAAAAAGTCAGTGACTTTACTTTGTACTGACGCTTTTAGTTTGCGACTCAGCCAAGTGGAATATAGTATAATATTGTCATTATTTGAACAGGGTACAAGGTCTACAATTATCACATAATTGCGACACTATGAAAATAGACAGTGTGCAGATAACCAGTTTCCGTAAAGCGGAGTTGACAATATATGAGAGTTTGTGACTCGGGACACACAAAAGTGTCCGTTGTCCGTATTAACCCGGGTCCGTATAAAGCGGATTAATCTTAGAGAAAATATATGAGCTTTTTGTCGGGACAAACGAAACTGTCCGTATAAAGCGGGTGTCCGTAGAGCGGGGTTCCACTGTACTTCCTGTTTGCTACTGGCACGAGTTACTAGATCTAGTATACTTTTACAAGGCTAGGCATAATATGATTCACTAAGATCCGTCTGTTGTTCGCGCGCGAAGGAGCCGTATATCCGTAACGAGCTCTCAATCTTTTGTGCCTAAAAAATGCGGGACTTTTACCTTTCAGAAATCTTTTTTCATTAGATCCACTAGAATCTGGAACCTGCTTATTACTAGACTTGACCTAGATAATGTTACTTTTGAGAACTTTAAATCTGTTCTTTACGGTTATTTCTCGCGGGCTCTAGCAATAAATTATGACCCGGGCTCTCCAAGGAGCTTCAAAAAGTATTTTCTTGAAATGTAACACAGCCAGGTTTTTAGACCAAGAAATTAGCTGCTGCCTGTGATTTAAATTGCTACTTTTATATCCTTTTATTTTTTGGGTCCGCAGTAATTGGCTTTAGCTGTTGCGGTGTCCCTGCCCAAATATTTGAGTTATTATCAGTGTATTGCTACGTTCTTATTACTAGTGTTTGCATATCTTCAGTGTTTTTTTTTTTCTGTATTCTTCAGGGACAAGCTAATAAAATAAAATTAAAAAAAAAAAAAAAATTAATAAACAAAAATTTAATTTTTATATTTTTAAAAAAAAAAAAAAAAATATGTAAACATAAAAGATCTAGAAAAAAAAAAAATATATAACTA